AGGGAACCCAAGGTTGAGTAAGGACAGTGTTGACATGTAGTGGGGTTGTTAACCATTGTCATAGGGGAACATGTGTACTAATTGTTTAATAAGAAACTATTCCGTTCTGTAAACCTTCTTCTGAAGTGAGAATAGTAGCACAACTGGAAGAACATAATCGATGTCACTGAACTTTGCATGTAGAAATTTTGAAACGGTGTATCTTTTTTCACTGAAAAAAAGGTCGAGAAGGGAGAGGGTTGACATGTCGTTCGGTTGTTAACCAATGTCATAAAACAATATGTGTGACGACTGTTTTATGAGAAACTATTTGTTCTGCAAACCTTCACCTAAAGTACAATAAAAAAAAAAATGATAACAGGAAAAAAAAGAGCAGAACTCGAAAAGTTGCCTTGGGAAACGTAGATCCAGATGGAAAGAAAAAACAGATCCTAATGGAAAAATGGTAAGTATATGACGTCATGGACAGTCACTGTTCTAACAAACCCTGGAGTCCAAAACCCTGGTTGTGAAATTGAGCAGTGGCTTTGTCTTGTGAAGCTGCAGCTAGGGTTCTGAGAACCACACAGAAGCATAAGGGAGGCATGTTGGGGGCTGAGCAAGAACTGCAAGCATGTGAACTTTTGTAAACAGCCCATTGTGTTCCTGGACAGGCATTCAAACTTCAGCCATCACAGAGTGTAAAAGAATAGAAGCTTCAGCCTCTTGCCAAAATTTGTGGTGTCGGTCAACCCACATATGAGTTTTAGGAGGTAATCCTTACTCATTGTGGCTTCTCTTGCTTTTAGTTTTCATTTCCACTGTGAGAGGTTTGTACCTTCCTGAGTATTTGAATACATTATATACCAGCTCTTCAGTTCCTCCCCAGTACTAGTCTTCTGCCTTACCCTAACCCCCCTCAAATAACAGACTGAGGCTTAGTTGGTGTTGGGAAGTAGCTGACATGGGTGCTAAGAGGTGGGAAGACATTACAAGGTAACATGGTTGGTAACAAAGTCCAATACAGAGTTAAAAGGGAAATAAATATCTTAGATCAGAATGCAGTGGTTCCCAAACCTGGGGAACTGCCTGGGAACTTTGTGAATATATGTAAACCTGATTCCACCTCTATAGATGAAGAATGGACTGAGAATCACAGGATGAGGAGAGGACAGGATCTATGCTGTTGAAAAATCTCCACAGATGTTTCCAATTTTCAGCCATGTTTGCGAACTGCTAGCCTAGGAAGTAGTGCTGAGGGAACTGGAGTGAACTGAGCTGCTAGAAAATTTTCCTTGGATGAAGCACTGGAGACGAGATAAAAGGGGGCTGAGAGAGGGAAAGTGAAAGTGACACATTGTATGATGAGGAAAATGAAAGGGGAAGATAGGAGGGGGAGATGGGTGTGGGTGTGGATGAACTAGAAGAGAAGGTGAAAGAAGGTTTGGAACTAGGTCTTTAGGATGCATAGAATTTGGATGGCCCAGGAGGTAATTTGAGCCTGTCAGGGTTCCTATGTCTTCTCTGCTCTTTCTACAATGCAGGAGGTCAGCAAGTTCCCTTCATCCTAAGGAAAATGGACTAAGAGTGTTTTTCCCATAGGAAGATGCAGCTCTTTTTGCCCAAGACCTTTGTGGCTTTAAGAGAGCTTAGCATCTCTTTCCATCTCTGGAAATAATTTTCTCAACTGTGGATGCTGGAAGACTCAAGGTTTCCTGAGAAATGCCTTTTCTCTGGATAGCATCCAAATACTTCTTCACCATTAACAAAGAGTTAGAATCACAGATCTCTGTGGTTGGGATCACAGATCTCCATGACTGGTGATTGGACCGACTTTTTGCTGACCAAGATTAAGTAGCTGGGCGTGGAAGGGTTGGAGAAATGGGAAAAAGAAAATCAGAAGGAAACTTTTCTCCTGAACCTGCTATCAGTCCACTGACATAGGCACAGATGAGGGGAAAAACAGAAGACTCAAAAGGAATTTGTCCAACAGTCACTTCCCCCTCCCTCTGCATCTGTCTTTTTCCTCCCTACTTCTTAATAATAATGAGGAATTGTAGTAAAGGAGAACAGGCCATCCATGACGTGGTGGAATGTCGTTGCTTCACCGTCAGCAGATCCTGAGTGAGCACCTTCTTTTATCCCAGTTCCTCCTGACTTTATTGTGCTTAAGCAGTCAGGTGGGGAGCCCCAAGGAGTGTCAAGGACAAGTGAGTAACTATCAAATGATTTTTCTTTTCTATAAAAAGGAAAAACACAAGAAAAGCCATTCACAAAGAGAAAAGGGGGAAGTATGAAAAAAATTGCAAATATTCAACTGCGAAAAGGTGAGGGAGACAACGATAAATGGCAAGGCGTGCTAAGCACGCCCTCTACCACTGAGGTACACCTGCTGTTATACAGCATTATGAGACTAGTCCATAATACTGACTTCCAGCACGGTCTGCAGGCGTTTTAAAACCTAAGTTTTCACAAGTCAAAATCCATTGTGTTCCTGCACTGGATCCTCGTAGCTATGCCAGGAGAAGGAAAAAAACGCATCCCGGACCAAACGACTCTGAGATCTTCCGGCAGTCATGGGCTTCTTGACGGAGTCTTTTAGTCAACTGCCTGAGTGGCAGTCAGTTCCAGTCCACCACTAGGGAGAGTCGTGGGATTGAATATTCTGATAAGTCTTCTGATTGTCTTCTCGAAAAGTCATTCTTCTCTGCCTATGAAGCTCACAGAAAGACATAAAAGATAGTACGGGGGAATACAAAGATGAGTTCGTGAGCGCTGCGGAGGAATGAAGATCCAGGTGGAGAGAGAAGACTAGAGGTTAATTAATTCACAGTATTTTACGGAAACGGGAGCCCTGATGGCGAGCTGGTTAGGCACTATGGCTGCTAACCATAAAGGTTAGCAGTTCGAATGTACCAGCCCTCATTGGGAGCCTTAGGGGGTCGGATTGACTCCATAGTCTCGGGTTAATAGGACCAAAGCGAAGAGGGACGAGTACTGCCATCGCTCTTGCCAATGGCTGCATCCAACACCTGGATTTGGAAACGTGGTTTTGCCTCCGCCATGCTGTAGCTCTGATTTTGAAAGAGGAGAAAGATGGGTGCTCCTGTCGTTAAAGAGTCTCTTCTAGACCTAATTATTTCTTTAATGAGGAAAGCACGAGAGAAGAGCTTTATGGGCTGGCCACAACCTTCAAAACAAACTCGCTCTTTGTAAACTTTCCCTGCTCCTGGAGAAGTCCGCAAATACCTGATGTGGTGCGACTGTTAATCTAGATATGATGGAGAAAATCCAAATCTTCTCGGGTGGAAGGGACCGGAGCCGGTAATCTATAGATGAAGTTACTTCTATATTAGAAGGATACCTGTCGGGGAAATGGAATGCGAGGAGGAGTGGGCGCTAGGAAGGCAGTGAATAGGAGAGAGAGCAGGGTTTACGGCAGCAGAAAGGAGAATGCTGAGCGGAGGGGAGAAGCAGCGGCAGAGGAGTAGAAGGCTGAGAGAAGAAGAATAAGGTTTGGAAATGGGTCTCTAAGAAAGGATAGGATAGGGACCTTCACGGAGGTAGAAAGTGACCAACCTCCATCATTACTATGCTTTCTGCAGGCCCTCGGGAAAAGAGAGGCTAAAGTAAGTGCTTTCAAAGCTTATGTCCCACGAAAGGATACAACTCATTTTGCCCAAAATTTCGTGACTGAGTGCCTCGCTGCTCTTTCCATCACCGAGCATTTTGGAAAGCGCAGGTGTGGTTACGTGTTTGTGGAACGGCAGTTGTTGGTATTGGAGGCTTTGGAAAAAGCCACAGGGTGGCGGCGTTGTCCGGATCCCACGTGCAAGCACAGCTGCGTGTAGCATAGAAAGCAGAATCCACCACCCCCACCCCCCGCCACCAGGGCTTTGGGCTAGAATATCTTGTACTTGCAGCCACTTAGTTTTAGCTGTGTATGGGCTTAATAGTCAAGGGAAAGAATGAGAAAGAAAGGTCAAGGAGTGACAGAAAGTTTTTGCTTAGAATAGAAAACTGCTGGAGCACTCAGTGCACCTGGCCCATAGTCTAAGGATCTAGGATTCACCACCCTATTCTGGTGTAGATACTTTCAGTTTTCCCATGCTTCTTTCTAACTCATACACAAAAGGCTACAGAGCCCAGCATCAGGCTTTTAATCTGAGGGTCCAGGGTTCAAGTCCCTGTTTAGGCTTTATTCTCATTTTACTCTAGTTATTTCTCTTAGAAGCCTATTGACATTCTGCTTCTTCTTAGAGAAACCCATCCCGGCATTTACCATAGGCATCTTGACTCCTCTGTTCCTGCTCTTTGAGCTACAAGAATAGGAATAGAGCAAGGAGAGCAGGGAAAGGGCAAAGAGTTCAATTACTAGCCAAATGGCTGGTGGTGTGAACTCACCCAGAGATGCCTTAGAAGATAGACCTGGTACTCTGCTCCTGAGAGGTGACAGCCTTGAAAACACTATGGAGCAGTTCGCCACTGCACACATGGGGTCAATAAAAGTCCAGGCAGCCCAGTGCTTCCAAATGAGGTGAAGATTTCTGAAAACAAACTTCGCTGTTACTGCACCTCATCTTTTGCAACTTAGATTCTTTGCTGGGTTGCCCTAAGTGAGGGTTCCTAACAAAGGAACTCCATTAAGAGACAGACATCACTTCCACTCACAGTAAGTAGTTACTTGGAGGGGAGGGAAGGGGAAGGTGAAGAGAGGGCTAGAAGTGTCGAATTCAGCTACAGAGTCTCCCTTAAAAGCTTTGCTCCCTTAAATTCCCACAAAGCCAAAGTTGAGCGCCGTAAGGACTCTAATCATAGGTGTAGAGCATCTTGGGGGAAGGGAGAGGCAAAGTGAGTCCAGCTGGCCACACGGGGAGCCTGATCCAGGCACGGTCCTCCTAAGGTGAAGAGCCTTAAGCCTCCAGCGAACCACTGCTGTGCCCTCAACTCCCCCAAGCCCTGGTTTGAAGTGCATTAGTGAGCTGAAATGGACTAGTATTGGCCATTTTGAATCGGACAATCATATGGTCTACTATGCCGGGAATGACAAATTGAAGAGGAGTGACGTTGCATTCATGTCAAAAAGAACATTTCAAGATCTATCCTGAAGTACACCGCTGTCAGTGATAGGATAATATCCATGCACAAAAAGGAAGACCAGGAAATACAGCTATTATTCAAACTTACACACCAACCACTAAGGCCAAAGATGATGTAATTGAAGAGTTACCAACTTCTGCATTCTGGACATCACAAGAGACTCTGAAACTTGCTCTTGAATATCAAGTAGCTAAAGCAAATGGAAAAAATGTTGAAATAGATGAGTTGAACAGAAGATTTCAAATGGCAGCTCAAAAAGACAAAGTATTATAATGACGTGCGAAGACGCAAAAGGGAAGAACATAGTTGGCATTTCTCAAGCTGAAAGATCTGAAGAAAAAAGTCAAGCCTCAAGTTGCAATACTGAAGGATTCTATAGGCAAAATACGGAACGAAACAGGAAGCATCAAAAGAAGATGGAAGGAATACACAGAGTCACTGTACCAAAAACAGTTGGTAGATGTTCAGTCATTTCAGGAAGGAGCATATGATCAAGAACCGATGATACTGAAGGAAGAAGTTCAAGATACACTGAAGGCATTGGCGAATAACAAGGCTGCAGGAATTGACGGAATAATAATTGAGATGTTTCAACAAACTTACTGATGGAGATCAAAGACCACAGCCTTCAGTATGAATTACACCTCAACATAAAGAAAACAAAAATCCTCACAACTGGACCAATAAGCAACATCATGATACCCAGAGAAAAGATTGAGTTCATCAAGGCTTCTATTTTACTTGGATCCACAATCAACACCCATGGAAGCAGCGGTCAAGAAATCAAAAGACATATTACATTGGTCAAATCTGCTGCAAAACATCTCTTTAAAGTGTTGAAAAGCAAAGATGTCACCTTGAGGACTAAAGGTGCTTCTGACCCAAGCCATGGAGTTTTCAATCGCCTCATATGCATGCGAAAGTTGGACAATGAACAAGCAAGAATGAAGGAGAGTTGATGCCTTTGAATTGTGGTGTTTGTGAAGAATATTGAATATACCATAGACTGCCAAAAGAATGAACAAACCTGTCTTGGAAGAAGTACAACCAGAATGCTCCTTAGAAGTAACGATGGCGAGACTACATCTCACATATTTTAGACATATTATTAGGAGGGATCAGTCCCTGGAGAAGGACATCATGCTTGGTAAAGTAGAAGGTGGGCTAAAAAGAGGAACATCCTCAATGAAATGGATTGACACAGTGGCTGCAACAACAGGCTCAAGCATAACAAGGATCATGAGGATGACACAAGACCGGGCAGTGTTTTGTTCTGTTGCCCATAGTGTCACTGAGTCAGAATAGACTCACCGGCACGTAACAACAACAACAGCATACACACGTAGTTCAGCTATGTATAGGAGACTAAATGAGAATACCAGCTCAGGGGCAAGTACCAGAAGGCAGAAGGGGACAGGAAAGTTGGAGGAAGGGAAATGGGAAACCCAGGTGGAGAAGGGGAGAGTGTTGACACCTCACGTGGTTGGCAACCAATGTCACAAAACAATATGTGTATTAATTGTTTAATGAGAAATTAATTTGCTCCGTAAACTTTCGCCTAAAGCACAATAAAAAAAAGACAAGCCAAAACAAAACAACGACAACTAAAACGGTGAACAAAAAACACATAAGCAAAGTGGGAAAAAAAAAAAAAAAAAAAAAAAACAGAACAAACTATGGGGAAAATATTTGTAATTTCCCTAATACGTAAAAGGTAAACATTAATTTCTCTAATATGTAATACACAATAGAGTAGATTTGGAAAGTATAAAATGTGGGGAAAATAATAGATTCCTATTGGCTTTTTTGTCCCTGTGTGCTAACCAGAAGATTGGAAGTTGTAGTCCACCCAGAAGCATCTCAGGAGAAAGCCTCGTAATCTAATTCCAAAAAATCAGCCATAGAAAATCTTACGGAACGCAGCTCTACTCTGACACACATGGAGTTTCCATGAGTCAGAGTTGAGTCCATGGCAACTGGTTATTTGCTTGTTTATGCAAATAATATTCCTTGCAGGTAACCCCATACTAATATAGTTGCTTGGGTAGGCAGAAGTCAGGGCAGGTGGAATGAGAAAGGGAGGTGGTGGAATGGGAAGATTTTCACTGTATATCAACTCTTTTATTTTTGTGATTTGTAAATATGTGAAAGTTACATTTATTTCAATATAAACATTTTAAAATCTTAAAAAATTGTCCCCCTGGGCACACAATGCTGTTCTTAGACATAGAGAACATACAGAAATTACAACCGTCTGATACTCCTTATAACTCCGCAGTTGGTCTTAACCTACCGTTAAACCAAAAGCCAAACAAGCTGCAGTGCAGTCAACTGGTGTTTTCTAATTTCCACCCTTTCGGTTAGTAGTCGACTGCTTTAACCACTGCGCCACCAGCACTCCGACACGCTGGTAGGAAGATAAACACCTTTTTTAAGTTACCAGCCCCAGGCAAATGTTTCACCCACAACCTGTGAATTCTGTTCTTAGATGGATTCAATTTACAATGTAGAGTTGGCAGCGGTGGGATTCCAACCCACGTCCCCCACCCCCACCCCCCGGCAGACACTAGAGCCTTAAACCAGAGATCCAGCCCCTTAGGCCGCTCAGCCACACTACCACACGTCCTGACAGTCTTTAAATCTATTATTTGCAAAGCAACAAGAATGTTTTCCAACACATTACTCTTTTCTTACAACAGTTCTACACACTAGTTATCCAAAACACCGATAAATAACAACTAAAATTTATTAGAAACTTATTATGAGCTATGCACTCTCCTTACATTTACTGTCATTCAGTCCTCCTAACTGCCTCAAAAGATACATACTTTCGCTATGATCTCCACTTTCCTGATGGACAATATGAGGCACAGAGATGATAAATAACTTGCTGGATGTCACCCAGCAGAAACGGATGTTTAAAGCCCAGTGGAAAACTTCACTCTGTTGTATGTTTATTTACTCCAGGGTAAAATCCTGACATAATTTTGATCAAGGTTACCGTGACAAAGGCAGAGCAACAGCAAACTTACATATGACGTAGCATCAATTCCTTTTGGGGCATGGAGGTGTATAGCATATAAAAACCTTATGCTTCGGAAATTTCACTGAGGGTTCAGATCTTTCCAGCTGAGAGTTTTACTAAAAGGTGTTACCATAAGTGTTTTCATATTGTAGTAGGCAGCGTGTCAGTCTCATAATCTGAAGGTCTTGAGTTCGAGTCTCAGAGAGGGCATTGGAGGTTTTTGTTCTCTTCTGCATACACTCACTTGAAAAAGAGACCCAGTACTGGGAAAATTATTCCACTGATCAAGTTTTTGAGTATGAAGCACAGATTCATAACAAATCAATTTCATGTGATGCAATTATAACTTGACCAGTACAACTGTGATTTTCTTAACACTCTGACAAGAAATCCTTCAAGAACTTTATTCGTCTTCCTTGGTAACAAGACAGCTTTTCAGTACACTGACTATAATACGACCTAATACCATACTACGGATTAGTTACCTGTTGCTACTGTACACAAATTTAATGGCTTAAAGAAAAAACAAAAGTTTATTATCTTACACTTCTGGAGGTCAGAAGTCTGAAGTGGATTCTGTCAGGGCCGGATTAAGGCATGTGAGATTCCTAAACGCTGATAATCTGTGGTGTCCCCTCCTCTGCTGACTCGGTCATTCCAACGGGACATGTGAGTTACACATACACGTGCGTATATATATGTGTGTGTGTACATGTTAGCTCTCCA